CATGCAAAGTGTTCACACCAGCATCCACTAGCACATGCACTAGCAATTTATCATGCCATGCAAAATGTCGATATCAGCATCCACTAACACATCCAACTAACACATGTCATTATGTCTTCATTCAAGGTATTCACATTAGCAAACCACATTATTTACTAACATATATTTAGTTGTCCACATAAGAATGCTAAAAATCATCCACTAACACGTGTTGTGATATTTATTCATTCATATTAGTAAATATCAGTAGTGTAATTTCATCAGCGATTGCCGCAGCAACGCGCGGGACATTCTTCTAGTTACTAATATTACGCTAACAAAAGAGTAAGATCAGCTTTACTGGAATTTACACTCAAACAGGTTGTTCTCATTGAAATCTCATTATCTTGAATTGATTGATTATGATGTCCCAAATATTAATAAATTTTTGTGGAAATTGAAAGTGTCACTAACAATTAACATCTTCCTTTGGTACCTACATCTCGAGGCATTATTTTGATATACAATTAACATCTTCCTTTGGTACCTACATCTCGAGGCATTATTTTGATATAAAGGATAGTCTAGTTAAGCGCAATTGGCAAGGTAATATAAGTCATTGCTTTTGTCACCAAAAAGCCTTTGGTACGGTGGTAATTGATCTTTTCTATTGAGAGAGAGAGAGAGATTGATCTTTTCTATTGAGAGAGAGAGAGAGAGAGAGAGCTTAGCCTTATTGGGTGGAAGCAAGTCAGCAATCACTCCATGATCATGATGTGGCAATCCACAGTGTTTGAGAGGCACAAATATATTGAATGGAATGGTTGAAGACAAATTCTGAATGAACATTTCAATCTCTCGAGCGCTATGTTGTCGAAGAATGCGACATTTGGCCAATTTAAATTTAGCCAAGGGTCGCTCATGCATGTGTGTGTTGATGTGAGATTGTGGAGGTTTAGGGCTGCCTTGATGGTGGTTAGATCAACATATAAGGCCCATCGGGTTACTCCTTTTACGTGAAACGAGACAAAAACGTAAGCAGGTTCGTGGTAGGCTATGGTTCACTCGGTATGCAGAATAGATCTGAACCGTCTAAACTCTAGGACATTACAAATAGTATTAGAGTCAACCTTCACGGATACGGTCCTGTGTGTTGATCAGATATGTGGACATGGGCGCATGGCGTGTGTAAGCTGCATGGCAACTCTCTTTTTCCATCTCCGAGAGCTCTTTAATTGAACTCCTAAAATCATTTTTTAGGAAAAAAAAAAAGGAAAAATTGGACCCTCATGTATTCTCGACTCTCGTTTTTTATGTCACCCTACCATCAATTTCCCTCTGGTTCTCTTCGTGGCGCACGGTTTCACTCTAGTTTAATTTTTTTAAACCAATAATTAATAATTGTTGATGAAAGGCAAAACAAAATGTTTTCTATTCATTTTGACCACTTCAATCTATACCTAATAATAAAGAGGTAAAATGTTTGCCACCCCTAGATTTTCGTCCAACCTAATCAGCAGCGTTTTATTCGCATCCAGCCTGTTATGAATAATGTTCGATCGAAGTCTTTTTTGTTTTTGTTTCCGTTTCCATTTCTTGACCGGCTGCTTCGTTTTATTTTTCTTCCCTCGTACGTAGGTGTTTGCGTTGGGGTCCTGACCATTTTTTTTGTCACTTCTAGAGCAATGTACCTGACTTTTTTTGTCACTTTTCTATTTTATTTTTTGGTTTTTATTTCGAAAAAAAGTAACTATGCTTTTTATTATAAAAATAAGATAAATAACAAATACAATATTACAGATCTTTATTCGTTTACCCTTATTTATAATAAACAGATATTTGTATTACTAAGTTGTTGATTTTAATTAGGAATAAATTATTATTATAGTATGAATCGACTGATGACCTAACTAATCAAAATATAAACTTAAATTTTGATGAACACTTTGTAATCCAATCTAATCTAATAAAAATAAATGTTTCTTCAAGCTATCTGCACATGCCACTGCAAATCTCTAAGTTGTCGTCATATAATAGTATAACTCCGATAAGGCTGACATGTGAAAATCGAGACACAATGACGATTAACTCCTTGCCTACTTTAATAAGATATTAAAGTTACATAATTTTGTGGGTCCTCAAAAGAAGTCACAGAGCTTGATATCTAACTCTACCAAAAATAAATAGATATTTAACATTGCCCATCATTGTTTTTATTATCAGCCCGCTTGTTTGTGATTGCTGCAACAACCACGCACAATATCAAAAGTAGTACCTATACAAATTAAGCCGCCGCGGCTTTTGTAGCTGTGCAGCAAGCTGAAGCGAACAGATCGAATGTTTGATAGTTTTTTTTCCTCCCGTTGCAACGTACGGGCACTTTTGCTAGTAATCAATAATTTGGCAAAAAAGAAAAGAAAAAGAAACTCTCGGAGATGACATTGACGGTTTAGGCTGTATATCTGTTTCAACCCGGCCTATATCGCGTTTGCGGACGCGGCAGAGTTTTGTGCGCTGGGCCTGTTGTCAAGCAGGCTCGCGGTCGTCCACACTCCACAGAGAACGGAAGGCCTGTTGGTGAGAGGCTGAGAGCAGACGTGGCGCGAGCATACACCGGAGTCCCATTTGCCGCGTGTCAGATACTGAGACGCGATCTCGCATTGCGTCCCGTAAAGTGCTGATGACAAATCGCTCCAACGTTAAGCAATGATTCCTCTCGAGCATAAATTAATCGATAATCGGGCAATTCCCCAAAAAACGCAATGTGATCTGATGGTAACCGGGTCAAGAAAAGAATCGATCAAACTGCATCAATCACCTGATGAGAACTGAAAGAAGGAACCAGAGCACTGTTTCACACACTCATGCTACAGCTAAGCTACCTAAGTACTCTACTAGTTTACCCTGTACATTTTTATCCTCGCTCTGATCCGACTACAAGGCATCACGCATGCATGCGTGCGAACTGCTTGATTCCGACTTGTGAGTCGATCGTCAGCATAGGTGCGGTGATCCAGTTGCCCCAGTAGCCCCGAACGACCCGTGGTCGGCGTCGGCGAGCTTGCTGCCACCGCCGCCGCTTGCGGTGGGGCAGAAGGCGAGGGACGCCACGAGCAGCAGCATGACGACGGGGACGAACAGCAGCTGCGTGGGCGGCGGAGGCAGCGGGGGCAGCGCCAGCGGGAGCAGCAGAAGCAGCGCGGCCGCCGTGGCCAGCAGCGCCGCCACCTTGCCCCCGTCCATGGTCGTCGTCGTCGTCGCCGTCGCCCGCATGACACCCGGCCAAGCCGCGCGCAGGAGCCTCAGATATAGCAAATGACCAAATGTGCAGCATCTGTAGCTGGGTACCCACTAGACCTTAATATAAATTTTCCCAGTCACAGACCCGCGCGTCAGCGATGGATGGGTGCGGCAGAGCAGGTGGTGGCGGCCGGAGCCCGCGGTTTGGCGCGCCTGTGGTTATCGAAACTGGAACTGGAAGGGATGGATCACTGGTTTAGGATCAGGTTCAGGTTCAAGGTTGACGCAAACGCCGGCGGTCGGATCACCTTCTTTCTGAGAAAATTGCACTTTTACCGTTCCATACAAGGTGATTCGCAAAATTAGTATCCAAACATTGTTTTCGTAAAAATAGGAGCTTAAAACATTTGCCTCTTATTTTCTCTACCATTTTCCACTTTTTCTATTTTTTATTTTATTTCACCTAAATCAGCCAACTAAGGTACGAATTTGTCCATGAGCAAACTCAGGTAACAAAGAGGTAGCTGATGCCGCGTCACTTCGTCTTTCCCTATCCCCGCCGCCGCTTCTTCTCTTCCGCGAGCCCTCACATGGACGATGTGCCGCTGCCGTTCGACATGCCCTTGTCGGACGACGATGTGCCGCCGCCACGCGACGTGCCTCTGCCGTCTGAGGCGTGGCATCTCATCGCTGACGGGGGACGTGATTGCTACGGTGAGAGCCCTGCTGACCGCTGCATCGACTCCGGCCTTGCTGCACGACGCGTCGAGGCCGACCCTACTGCATGTCGTACACAAGTACGTGATGGACATGCAGTCTACACGAAGCAAGGCACATCCAGGCGAGGCAGCCAAGCACATGCAGATGTAGGCGTAGCAGCCAGCCAACGCCCATGCCAGCGGCGACCAGCGCCCAACGCTGAGAGTCCACGTCAATCAGCACAGGGGCAAATTCGTCCTTTTAGGTGGCAGGTTTTGGAAGAAATAAAGAGAAAGGAGAAAAAAGAAAAAATGGTAGAGAAAACAAGATGCAAATTTTCTACTTTTTTTCTAGTGTACCTAGTATGAGATGTCTCCGTACCAGGAAAGGAAATCAAACCCCGTGCACGGGGGAAGTGGAATCAGTGGGTTCCCCATCCCTGGGTGGCAGCGTGTGTAGCTAGCTTTTTGTGCGGTTGTTGATGCATACACGTCGGGTAGCTAGTAGAACCTGAAAGCCAGCTGTGGTTGGGGCTTGGTTGGCTGATAAGCCATGGCTGAAAGTACGATTGACTGATTTGGTGGGAGAGAAAAATAATGTTTATTGACTGAAAAAAATACGGCTTATCGACTAAACAAGCCCAAAAATGACGTTAGACTGTCGATCCGCTGGATCCTCCGTACGAAGATGGCGTTAGACTGTCGATCCGCCTAGATCCTCCGTACTAGTGGTCAGCCTAGGAGTCTAGGACATGCATCCCCAATTCCCAACTTCTCCAATCGTTGACTAATTAGGCTCAAAACGTTCGTCTCGCAAAGTACAACCAAATTGTGCAATTAGTTTTTAATTTCGTCAACATTTAGTACTCCATGCATGTACCGCAAATTTGATGTGACGAGAATCTTCTTTTTGCATAGTGTTAACTTCTAAAACTGGGGAACTAAACATGGCCCAGCTCTTCTTGCCTCCATCAATTCAGCGCTATCTCCGGCAAAACCACTGCGCACACATGCGGTGCGTGGTGGCGCTTTATCCTCGTCGCCGTACAGGTCGAACCTTTGCTCGCAAAAAAGAAAAAAGAGTTAAGTGCACCAACAGTCCTTAAACTTGTATGAGTATATCATTCCGGTCACTAAACTTACAAAACGGCCATATAAGTCCCTAAACTTGATTTGGGTCTCGTTTACCCATCCAAACGGTCTTTGACCCGGTACCCACGTCCTCCTCTCAGACTTGTCACCACGCCGGCGCATGCCCACCCAAGCCGCCGATGCCAACGTCATCGTGATCAGCCTCGCCGTGCTCTTCCGACTCGACGTAGCGGCATACACCTCCTCCTCCGCGAACCCATCCAGCTCGCCTAATTCCGACGACGTTGAAGCCCTGCAGTACACGTTCCTGGGCCCAACGCTGCTGCCACCACCGACCACCGGGTAGGAGGAGCCGCCAGAGCCCAGAGGTGTTCGTGGGTGCACCGTGCACGTGAAGACGGTGGTGCGCGTCCAGCCCCAGCAGCGAGGCATGTTGGAGAAGACCAGCGGCTGCGCAGCAGCGGGCCGTACGACGAGGACGGCGTTGCTGGGAAGCTGGGGATGGACGACGCAGAGGCTTCCTGGTGGTTGGTTGAGCCGTTCATCGGGAAGAAGCAGGCCCAGTTCACCGCGTGGATTCGTCCCTGCTGGAAGAGGTCGCCTGTGCCGCTGCCGGCGCATCTCCATCCTCTCTCTCTCCTGATGCCCGCTCGCCGCCCCGGTCCTGCAGACCTCGGCCTCGTGTTCCTGCCGCTCGTGGATGCCGCGTTCCAGTTTGTCCTCCTAAACTGAATTGCAACTCTGAAACTGATGCTTGGTATGCAGAATTTTTGTCAAACTTTGAGGCTTTAGATCTTCCAAACCAGTAAAAATTAGACCTTAGTTCTTAAAACAATGTTGTAGATCATAGCCCATTGAATAAGTTTTATTAAGGCCGATCAGGTTGATTACATACAAAATTGGGAGTAAATCGCTGAATAACAGAGAAGGTCGTAATGCCTTTCTAAAAAACAGAGAAGGCCGTAACTGAACTTGAGTTCAGTTAGCCGGCTTCAGCAGTTCGGCTGACAAGCAGCTGCTTGCTCGCCGACAGCACCATCGTGCTTCTCTCCTTCACACGCCATCCTCAAGATGGTCGGGGCAGCACCGTCATCTTCATCCTCGATTAGGCCACGCTCAGGCTCGGCTTCTCCCTCTGTCGTGCGCATGGCCGGGTATCGAGCCGAGGAGCACGCGCGCCGTCGCCGCCACCCTCGCGTGCTGCTTGCCACAACCCCCTCCCCCGCATGCAGAGCGCTGCTCGCCGCGCTGCCGCAGCCCACATGCCAACGTGCGCCGCTGCTCTGTTTGGGAAGAGAGATGACGGAGGGAGCTCGGGAAACGTGGGCAGAGAGAGGGAATAGACCAGTTTGGATGGGATTGAGACCTGACAAGAAATTAGGGACCCAAACGAGCGTTTTGAGAGTTTAGGGACCGAGACACACTCACACAAGTTTAAGGATGGCCAGTAAACTTTACTCAAGAAAAAAAGGTCGAACCTTGAACAAGGTGCGAATGGAATGGCGTCTACCGTCTTGTAGCTCGTATAGCATGCCTGGAAGATACTAGCGGCCTATTCGCGTGACGTTTCCGAATTACGATCCCATACAGAGAACGAAGGGTACGGTCCGGCAAGGAATTTATAAATTCTAGCTCTGGTGTGGCTCGTCCGTGCACTCGCCACGGTCTCTGAAAAGTGAAAACCGCTACCTTTCCGATATGATTAGTTGAAGCAAATAGGCAGTTATCGTAAAAATTAGTTCAAGTGGTAGGACAGATTAGCGTACAAATGTACGCTATTTATAACCCCTGTTTGCTAGTATAATAAAATGGAAACGTACGGCTCAGTTGCTAAATTTAGCAAACCATCGAGCCCTTGAGTTAATCTGACCAACAGACCAGACAATCTATCCCCCCAGGAAAGGTCATCATGGACGGACTATCGGTTGCCAACTCGCCATAAATAACTGAAGCATACCTCACTCGATCTTTACCTTAAACAGTATTTACATTTGCCGGAACAAGTGGCCACAGAAGATGAGAAAGTCAAAGAACACTTTTTATTACTACTACTAGCACAAATCCTAGCTTGAGAGGAACATAAAACGAAAGGGAACGTTAAACCCTAAACGAAAGTTTAGGAAGGTAAATCAGGCTAGAAGTATTTTTAAAAAAATGAATCATTAAAAAAGTAAAAATTCAAAAACTTATCCATACATTTTTACATGGAAAAACAATGCAATTAAAAATCCTAAATTTTGTTTTTATCTTAGAAATTTTATAGAAATTTTGTTTTAGCTTCGAAAATTATGAAAATAGTTTTGATTTTTTTTCTAAAATCATGCTCTATTTATGGTGCCTAACTTGTAATTGTTTGAATCTTGACATACTCATTTTAGTGCTTATTTGCTAGTGGAATCTCTTATTCTATATTATATTTAGTCGACGTTGATCGTCCAGACTACGTAGCAGTGCCAGTGGAGTGTCGTTAGGACAGTAGTAGGCGCTGGACCTAGACCCTTACCCCGGATAGATTTTTCAAAGTAGCAGTGTTAGCCAATGTGGTTGCATACACCCTGCCTCTTAAATTTGAATTATGGAGCGTCTTTGGGTGATGGTGCTGCTATATTTACTCTCTTTTGAAGCGCCGGCCTGGACGCGGCCTCGCCCTGGACATGTCACCTAAAAATTGGCCCTATTCGGTTGGTCATATTCGTGGCTGGTTGCAGCTGGAGCTGAATGGTCCTTCCGGCCCAGCCGTGCAGCTGGCCTCAACCAGCCGTTCGGCTGCACTAGAACAATCAGCTTGCGCCCTCCTCACTCTCCCCCTCTTGCATTCGCTCGCGCGGGTTTAGGGTTGCGCCGCTCCCACTTGTTGCTCCCGCCGCCGACGCGGTGAGGCCTTCGCCCGCACCCCCATTCCCGCTTCGCTGCCGGCCGCCCGCCGTCCTTCTCCCGTCCCCCCCTGTCGCCGGAGACAGAAGGCGCCATCCACCCTACCTGTGTCGCCAGATTCGGTGCGGCCTTGCCATACCAGATCCGCCGCGTCATCCTAGCTGTGTTGCCGAACAGATCCAGCCCCTTCATCGGCTACGGAGTCAGCTCCAACCAGCCCGGCACGTACTAGACTTCCCCCTCCTTTTTCGTTTGCTCGTGATGATCCGTTTACTTAGGGTTTACGGTTTCCCGCACCCCTAATCCTACTTCGTTTTCAGGTCAATCCGCCGGCGAGCTCGTTGACGCAACGGTTGCTTCAACGTGCTGCCTATTCTTCCGTCTCCTTCTGTTTCCAGATCCGGATCCGTCACCTTTACCTGCTTCCTCTTTCCCTGCAGCGCCAGATCCGGTACGTAGGTGACTTTCTCATCCCCTTTTCGAACACACTTGCAGTTCCGGATGAGAAGGGTTAGGGTTCATTTCCCTCGTTTGCCATACAAATTTAAAGTCTCTGTGCTAATATTACGTCTTTGAAGTGTACAAATTTAAAGATGAGTGTAAATCTCTGTGCTAATATTATGTCTTTGAAGTCGCCATTCCGAACGCATCACATTCGTACGAACTTTGTAAAAGCCAACAGTTTATACAAATTTAAAGTGAATACCTTTGGAGCTGCCGGTTGTCAACATCTGTTAGTTTTTGACAGACCATTCGAATTAGTTGTAAGATATTACTCCTTCATTCCAAAATGTAGGATGTGATTTGACCTCATGCCTTGTGACCATTCATATGTTTTATATGTTTTGCCGGTGACCACAGAATTAGCAGCAAATAAGCTTTTTTTTTTTTGTCCAATATGAATCCATGGGCACCTTAGAAAATAAATAGAGGGATATTATCAAAATTAGATATTTATAATGCGCATAGTTGTAGTTTTACTAGTAAGGATTTTAAAATTCCGATCAAAAGCAGTTTACTGGAGGCTACGGCGGACCTAGCTGCTTCCACGCAAGGTGTCGTCATCTAAACGGTGCATGAACAAGAAACAGAATCGAGTTAATTTTAAAATTAATTTTGAAAAGGGCATTTTGCTAGCGCCCGGACGTCTGGGGCGCGAGACGTGTCCGGACGTCTGCTCCTGCTGCCTGCCATTTCAGTTTCGTCCTATCAATCAATTCGGCAGCCGCTAGTCCCCCCGACTCCCGTTGTTATTTCACATGTCCATAGGCTGTCGGGCTCTCTCGCTCGATCACTCGTATGCATGGTTGCATGCAGCTCCTGCCGCTCGCTTGGCCACGTTGCCGCCGCGTGCTGCTGCTGCCGCGCCCGCCGGCCCGGTCCCGCCTGCTACTACGGTACGCATGCGCCTGCTGCCGCGTCCGTTTCGCTTCCCACCCATACGGGGACCGCTGTGCCCACGTGGACCACCTCTGCCTGCACTCACTTCTCACGCATGTTCATGGAACACTTGTAACATGTAGCCTTTGCTGCAATGTAACACCCTCGGTGTTACACCCTAAACAAATTACCAAACCATGTCATGAGCATCATGTTTATGTGATAATACATGTGATGAAAAGTATAGATAACATTTTTGTAACTTCAGATGATCAATAAAAATGTTAAATGATAAGCTATTCTATAACTCATATGTATCAAGTAGGGTTTAAAATTAATTTTTATTGAACAAAAATACTATAGAACATATATGTGACGCTTAAATAAAGTTTGGAATATGAACTTTGTAGATAATAATGAAATACTTGTTGTAGAAAATAACATTGCTAGCCAATATTTCTAATAGCCTAGAAATGCAACTTGGAATCGAATTCAGCTCATAGACTTAGAAGATTTTTAAGTATATAGACAACTAGACAATGTCATGTTTGGCAATTTATTTTACGAAATCGGGTTAAGAATAGGTGTTATGTTTTAGCTCGGTTTAGTAACCTCATATGCCATCTTGAGCATGGTGAAGATGGTTTAGGTCTAGAAGCAACCGTTTAGTTGTTATAGGTGCTTTAAAATGCATGCACTACACGTTCTCGGGTTGGCTGGGTGGACGCGGTCACCACGCTCGGGCGCACACCGTCGCCGCGCTGGTCGCTCGCGCGTGGTCGACCGCAGTTGCTGCTTGTATGGTCGTGCGGCGCTGCAGGCTGTCCCGCCGCGTTGCCGCACTACCGACCCACCCCGCACCGCGACGCAGTCGCTGCCGGTGCCGTCGCCTCACCTTCACGTCCACGCTTCTCTCTGCACCTCCACGTCGTTGCTAGACCTGTTCGAGGCCGCCACTACCGCACGACACGTTGCCATGCTCGACGTCGTCTTGCCATTTATAACGCTACGCCGCGCGGGCCATGGTCGGTCGAGGACGCGCGCGCTTGTCCTTTGCGTCTGCGCGCATGCCCTCCCGGTCATGCCGAGCATGTCCCGCCAAGGCGAGGCCATGTTGTGCCCCCTACCGACCGTCTCTCTCTCTCTCTCTCTGCTACCACCGTCGGAGTCGTGCCCCTCGCAATTGACCAGCGAGTGGTCATCTCCTTTCAATTCCGCACGCCTGTGTCTCGGCCATCAAGTCCTCTTGCTGTCCAACCCCACCCCGCATTGAATGGCGCCCGATCGAGCGCCAATTTGGCATTTTCCCGCCGCCGTGCCAATAAGGCCACGTCCGACCGTGGACGAGGGTAGCCCTCCTACCATCCCTCCTG